TCATATTGTGTGCTGCCCTTAAAAAACTAGGCGTACTACGTATGCAAATACATGAAACTTGTTTTTTCTCAGGATCAAGCTGGATCTGGTCATTTTGAGGCTAAATGTTTTGGTAAAATATGACAAAATTTAGTTCAGATGGTTTCTGAATACCATCAAAATCAAGCACAAACTTGATTCCTAGCTTATTTACGGCTAGTTGGATAGTCGATGCGATCAGCTGACGGTTGATGAGTAATGCACAAATTTTGCTTTGACTTTATGAAGGAGTAACAAATATCGTCGACATTCAAGAAGGCCCTGACAAGAATGAAAGGTCCCCTGCAACTGAGCTCAGGCACAAAGTGCCCTACATTAATGTGGGGGGCCCTTGAGCACAAGCATATGAGGTAACACCTTGGCGTTGCCTTTTGTGGGCTCCAGCAACAACACAAGGACATCCGAGCAAATGGAACGAGCCCGATACCAGTATAAGGGGCCCCTGAGCAACCGAGTGTGCTCCGGCATGTGGGGCCCCGACAAAGCGCATAGAGGTTTTCGGGCGTATATGAAGGATTCGCGGAGGGGTCTTGATCGATTGAGAGTGCCCGGGCGCAGGCCGCAGCCAGAGCCTTAGCAAGGGAAGGGAACGGGGTTGACAAACGGCACCTGAGTGTACAAGCTTCGCACCCACCAAACAATCGCCGAGTATGGCCCTGCTCTTAAGGGCATGCTTTTCTCTGCTATTTTTCATTTTTGCCCGATATAAATGGAGGACAAACCAAAGCTACCGCGAGCTCCATTCTGCTTGAGTCTTTTAGTCAATCAACTGAAGAAATCATGCCTTAAGCGACTACCTCGAATAAATTACCAATACTTTTTACTTAACAATGGTTCAATGGACCCTTTCCAAGCCGATAAAACTCCGAGGCGTTGTCAGAATCTTTATCTTGGCTGCACAGAGATATCAACTACCCCGCGAATACAGATCGAAATGGATCAGCAATTTGTGATAACCTGGCCAAGCCATGTTTGTTTACAAATGTTCAGTATCCAGTCAAAATCGATAAGCGATACAGATTATGTAACGTAGCTTTGAGCATCCGCGCTCGCAAATCTTAGCAACATAATCCCCGATGCCGGGCGTTGCAGTCTCCGTATGCCGCGTAGCGACGACCCTGCTGCTAGCCTTAAGTCGTCGCCAACAGGTGGACGAAAATTGTAGTGGATTTGAAAGAAGTATCTTGGAAAACTTTAGGACACGAAATAATACTTTTAGAAGGGAGTCTGGCGTATATTTCACCCGTGTAACTTTTAGATTGATGAATTGAAAGGATTGGCCTTTGTAGCACCGCGAAGTGGTGCTGGAATGGGGTGGTAGAACTGGAGGAGTAAATGCTGAATCTCTATTTTTCGTGTTGTTGTAGCTGTTAATCCGTCCAGTGTAGAACTTAAAAGCTGTAAAAAAGATACGCTATGCTTATTCTTTGAACGGTGTGAATTAATCTTTTAAGACATGCGGAAGCACTATTTCACGGTGGTTGTTCTCGCGCGCACGGCGCCCGCCGCCTGATTTTACCTGCAGTAGCCAAAGTCATTCGGTTTTATTGAAACTCAACCCAGGCCATCATTGTCCTTGTTTTCGAGATTGCGGGCGCTCAGGTTCAAATCCTTTGATAATTTATTTCCCTGGTCGATTCTGCAAAACGATAAATGTGCTCAGGCAAACATGGGATGGCTTCATTCTTTTCGAACCCATTTCGACGCACTCTCTTCAGCACTAATGAGACCCCTTATCTTTTCCAGGACAGGAACCCCGCTCCGGATAACACTACGGGCACATTGTTGTTTCCGGTCAAGGCCTGAAGAGCCATTTCATCCCACCGTTGGGTGTCTTCCGGCTGCCATTTTGACGACACGGCGGGATCCCCTGGCCGATCCGAAAGCCCTTAGAGTGATACGTTATATCACATTCGTCCCCATCCTGACAAGGGAGAATTTCTAAACTGCGCATACAGTAGTTGACCCCGGATCGACGCAAGAACCCTCAATGACGCAACAACATCACTGATCGCCGCAAGTGGTCCAATAATTGGCACATAAGTTCCAGTTCGGCTTGACGGGCCCATGCTGGAGTAAGGGTGTAGGGCCCACCGTTCAGTACTGGGGGCCCTGGCTGGCACAAAACCCTTCCGTCGCCTCAATGTGGACAATCAAGATAAGCTTTGAGGTTTCTTTTCATTGCCAGAGGGTTTTGACAACGAAAGACGCCCGCTAGCATTTGGGGTCCCGTCTCCGTCCCTGTTGAGCAAATCTTCCCACGACTGACTCGACTGGCCCCTTGTGGACACATAATACCCTGTTAGGCACTGTCGAGCCTTGAACGATACGGAAGCCCCGCATTGTTTATTAAGGGGCCCGACCAATGTGAATCACGGACACGGCCGTGTTGCTGCTTGGGGAAATGGGCTCCCAAAGCTCAGACCGAAACACAGCCGACTGTTCGATGCTGGTGACTTCCGACCGAAGCGGAGGAATGCTCTGTCTCAGGGGTCCCCAATCGGCGTAAGAGGCCTTCTTGCTGATATTTGAGCCCACGGCCCAACGGGCGGGGTCTTAATGTGACCTGCAGTCAGCCCTTCGGGCCGGTCAGTCCTCTAACCGGGCCCTTAATCTTTGGTCTCAAGAGGCCCCCGCCCCCCCCCCCCCTCAAACACCGCCCCTGGCCGACTCGGGCCGCTTTCTGTCACATGACCCCTAATGGACGCTGTGGCCCCTGGCCGACGAAGGAGTCCCTCATTATGTTAGGGACCCCGAACATTGCAAATCGCGGGCCCTGGCCTCGCTCCTGCGTAGAAAATATACATAAAGGACTGAGACGGGCATAGAGCCGACTGCTTGGCCTCATGTCTTGGCCCTATATAATAGGGATAGAGAGCCCTAATAACAAGGCCCTTATAGAATCCCTCCAAGTGGAATTTCATGTCACGACAACACGGTTCGGAGGCCGGGCCAGAGTCCAATCGGGTCCTTGATCTTTAGAACCGAGCGGCCCTCCAGCCTCCCTCCAGACATCCTTAAACAAAGTCCGTGACCGACTAGGGGCCACTAACCGAGACATGACCCCCTATTATACACTGTGGGCTCCCAACCGACACAGGGGCCCTAACCACTGTTTCTGGGACACAGACCAATGCAGATCGTGGTCCCTGGTCTTGCTCACACTTGGAGAATGGGCCTCCAGGATTCAGACTGACAGGACGCTATCTGTTAAGTGCTGGAGGTCTCTGGCCGACTTATACATTTGCATTGTCTCAGGAGGTCCTAAAACAGCGCAAGAAGACCTATACTGACATTTCAGGTCACAATCCTACGAGTCGGGATTCTTTATGTGGCTTACAGCCAATCCTTCCGGCTCTTGTGCACGCCAACCGGGACTTTTATAGTCAGGTCCGAGTAATTGTCGTCTAGCCAGATCGTTGGGCTGTCCGGGCCCCTCTTTGGGCCTCATCAAACAGTGCACTTGGTCGGCTCGGGGCCCCTTGAGAGCGTAGGATCCTCTGTTGGGCGTTGTGGCCCCTGACAGATACAGGGGCCCCGACTAGTGTAAATCACTGGCTCCGGCTTCGTATCTGATTGTGAAGCAGGCCCTCAGGCCCATGACGATACAGAGCGGACTGTGCGACACCAGTGGTGCCTGACCGACATAAAGAACCACTTCGACTTAGGGTGTCTCTGGTCGGCGCAAAGAACCTTTTGGCTGGCATTTAAGGGTCCGTCCTTGCAGGCAAGGCCCATGAATAAGACTCCGACCAGCCCGTTGTGCCCTTAGACCCTCCAATCGAGCACATTATCGTCGGACCCGGTGGGCCCTCCAGGCTCTTTGGGCCTCCTCGAACATTGCCTCTGGTGGAATTGGGGCCCCTTGCCAGCACAGGGCCCCATTAGGCGCTATGCGGCCCTGATCAATATAATCTGCTGGCTCTGACTTTGCTCGTGTTTGGGAAATGGGCTCTCAGGCCCATGCCGACACGCAGCCAACTGTGCATTACTGGTGGATTCTGACAAACATATGTAGATCCTTACCAACTCAGGGGCCACTGATCAGCGTGCGGGGCCCTCTGGCTTGTATTGGAGTGCTCGGCCCCGTGGCCCGGAATACAACCTCCGGACGGCCCTCGCCTTTTGGGCCTTGTCTTTGTCCTCAAAACGCACCCCTAATTGTAGGTCACCGGGGCCCTTCGAGCCCCTCGTGACCTAAGGAGGAGAGGGGGACAAGTGCTCTGTGTGCTCCCCTTTGATTGCCGTACTATTGTGGTACTTCCATTCCCAAAGCCAAAATACGCCTCGAAAAGAGCCACTATGGTCATCGCTTCAGCTGAGAAATCAAACCCATAGTAAGCGTACGCTGAATTTGTGCAATAAGAGCTTCATCTACGCATATATTTTTGTGCTCACAGCATGTTTTAACTTCTCGCAATATTTATTTCACGAACTTTTCGACACATTAGTGTGTTGTAAACATTACAAAACACATGCGCTGGAAAAGGACAGGATAAACGAAGAGCATTACCTTCATAGTGGTGAACAGGATGTCAAATGAAATTTCTCTCGCGGAGTCGGATACTTCGAAGCAAAATGTTGAGTTATTCAGAGGGATTTCAAGACAACTGGCATTAATGATGAAATGGAACACGTTTGATTTAGCAATAAGTAAAAAGTACAAAACAGGTGGGACACTCCCTGTAAGAGAAGTGGCACCAGCCTCGGATGCATTTGGGTGTCAAGCAATGTGGCAAACACGAAGGACTTTTCCATTCAGTTTTCTAGCCTTGCAAGCAATCTCTCACATAACACGATCATTGTTGCTTGTATATGCCGGCCAAGAGAGAGAAATTCCACACTTGATCGCCTGATGCTTCCCTTCTCTATCATTTAGGCATACCTGGCGCAGAGCGGACAGTGCGCAGTGACCATAGCCAGCAAAAGAAAGGGATGCGCATAAACGAGCGCAGCCAACGGAGCGAAACCGTAGCGCGTTGGAGGCATTGAACGCGGAAGAGAAAGACTGGTGGAGTCAGTGTACTCCCCACCAAGGCCCAGTCTCCCAACTGGGAGCGTCGGTTAATGGGGACGTCGTCAGGATGGTGGGCTTGAGGACTGCAAAGAATTGAACTCTAGAAAGTGAAAGATTATGTGACTTAAGATCGAGGAAGACGTGCCTCATCTCCAGATATCCCACTGAAGCCATCAATCAACCTGACCGAACCCACTCATCCACTGTTCATCCTCGCCGTCCAATGACAAGATGAGGACAGGGTTGCAGTTACAGTACTTTGGATCAAAATTTCGGAAAAAGGCTCTCTTGTTTGTAGTAATTATTCAGTTTTACATTCAGGCTGGGCAGACCAAGACTGAGAGTTCAGATGTGGACAATAAGTGTGGTGATAACTTGTGCATCAATGGAGAATGCATAGATGGAAACTGCACCTGCTATGCTGGATGGAAGGGTCCAAGCTGCCAGCTGTGTGGAGGAAGAGTCAGGTATGCATTGTGTAACACATAGGGAATGAAGCCACTATGATGTTTGTTGCCTGCCTCAGTTTCATACATTGGCCAAAATATTCTTCAACATTATAGGCTGCTTGAGTTTAGGTAGAGAAACAAATGTGGAACAGTTTGATCTCACTGAATCCTATATTTTAGCAGTGAAATCATAAGCACTCATCTGGTGCTTGGCTTCTTGACTATACTCTTTAGGAAGCAGGAAAATTGTTATTTGAACATACAAAATGTGACATGCATGTTATTAGACCAGAAATTGCATCACAGTTACAGCCCACACCAACATTGTTTATGCATTGGCCTGTAGGTACAGGCACATTAAGGTTAGGGAGAAGGAAAACATTATGCTAACTTAATTGGTTGGCAAAGCAGTGAAACATGGTGTTAAGTTATCAGATGTGGATGTCATTTATAAGTTGAGGAAAAATTCAACCATGATAAAGAGCATGGACATGACATGTCTGGTCTAAATTTGAGTAATTCAAATCTTCTCAGTCACAAATCAATCAATCACAGGTCACTGATTTTCGGGAGGGCTAGAGGCCACAGCCATACATCAGGGTTACTTTCAAGAAACTCAACATAACAAATACAAAAATGCAAATGCTATGGGAGAAGGGGGTTGGTGGCTGCACTGAGCTATAGGTTTATCCCAACAAAGTGTTGCTAGGTTTAACCAACAACATACATAGACCAGAGCTCAGGCCAGATCATTTAAGTAACCCAATATTATTTGTGATTTCTGCTAGGAGGGATGTGCTCAAAATTTGTCATCACATTATCATTCTCAGCACCAAGAGCATCATGTTTGCCATTGCTGTGACCTCACACAGATTTTGGTGCATTGCAAATATTGGGTATTGCAAATATATCTTGTATTCTATACACACATACACACACACACACACACATATATATATATATATATATATATATATATATATATATATATATATATATATATATATATATATATATATGCATATATATATATATATACCATGTATACCTGGGGAAGAGAGATATGATTGCTTATATGTTGCCCTTTGACCACAGACCTACACCTGTGACATGCTGGTCTGATCTGCTAGCAGGAGGCACCTAGATGCTATGGTTAACCATTGCAAGGTTTGGTGCTATTGACTGATCTTTAGAGGGGAGGAGCAGCAGGCTGCAAACCATTAGCTAGGTGTTTGCTGGCATGTGAACATGTTGACATCCCTGTTACCTGAGGGCTATATGTTGAAACACTGCTGCAGTCAAAATTGAATGCCTGTATGTCATATTTGCATGAAAACTTGCTTACAGTATTGCTGCAGGTCTTAAACCATCCTCACCACCCAGAGATAGTTGAAGTAATTGCAAAAGAATGACATTTGCAATGTGCCACAAATGTACTGACAACAATTTTGCAGTATTTTGTAAGGTGGGGCAATGACTGCACTTGAACTTGGCCAAAGTACCTGTGCTTTGAAGAACTCAGTGAAGAAATAATATCTGACCTCATGTAGCTTGAGTGCCTTCTGGGTTGGGTTTTTTGGGGGGAGGGGGCTAAACCTTATGTGCAGACACCCCTGGTGTGTGCACGGCCAGGGGTGTGTTCACACTGGAATACTATGATGTTGGTTTTCTTGAGATTAAGCCTTATTGTAATGAAGACTCTGCCCAGTGCCTGCAGCATCTGTACCCTGGGTTTGTGTGGTACATGACAAAGTGTTAAACAGCACACAGCAAACATTCCAGTAAAAATTATTTGTTATATTATGATTTATTATATCTTAGTGCTATATTTAGCCTCTTTGTGTATCAATCAACAATAAAGGCCATCTTTTGCAGTCCTCCAGTTTTAATGGGCCATTATTATTCTACCAATGCATCATGCATCTTTGGGAGATTGTGCAGTGCTACAAAGTTGACTGAAAAAAAACAATGATTCAACTCATGTTCACTATCACAAGCAAGATTTATTTGTAATGATATGACCATCATCAAAGTGCTGCAGCCTGGGTTTCTACAGGTCCTGGGATCCCCAAAATTCTTGAGGAGGCCACCAAGGCCTGCAAGCATGTCCAGCCTGATGGCTCAGTTGGTTAGAGTGTCTGTCTTCCAATTCATACACCTGTGGTGGGATGGGTCCGGGTCACTTAAGCCCCTTGCTGTTTGCCCTTGACAGATATGGGCTGCAGCTGGTGTCAGCAGGTGTGCCAAAGGTCAGATGACATCAGTGGGCATGACAAACAATTCAGGGGTTGCGGCATTTTAAGCTACCAAATTCTACCATTGACATGGGATTGCACAATTGGATGGTAGGGTCAGAACTCACATAACAAGCACTGCTTAGCATGAGCTCTGATCCAAGGGGTCCATCTATTCAAAGGGTTTGGATGAAACCTTTAAAAAGTTTTCTAAGCCCATTTGTGGATATTTTCCCAATGCTGTTTTCTTGTACAGCATAGGGGCAGGGATGTCATAAAATGAAGAGTTCTTTCCACATGCCACCACATTGTCAGTGCCAAATGCATTGTATCAGGGCTACAAACAGCTAGATTTTTCCCACTATGATACACATTGAATATCTACACCAATTGCAAACAAGGGCACAGTTCTATCTCTGCTTGGGGTTAATGCACAAAACCACAAACTGAGCACCTGCGGCTACCTCCCCCGACCACTTGCTCCAGATATATTAAGGGGAGATTCCACTTTTGTGTTGGGTGTTTGACACTAATCGTGGTTGTCAAGATATGTCCTTTTGCAGGCTTCAATTTATCTGGTTTTTAAGCTTAATGCACGCGAACTTTTGCAGGTTGTTTCGCGCCGCCAATTTGAAAGTCCTCCAAGCTTGCATAACGTCATTGAAACGTCCGGCGATTATCGCCACCTCGCTAGCTGTACTGCGCTCATGGTCTAGTATAAGATGGTGACTGAGGTATTCGCGTTTGCAGTGATTCTGTAACAGGTGTCCCAATAATAAAAGTCACCATTTTGTGATGAATAACAAGTAGTTGGGCCACCGCTAATTATTCTGAATAAGAGGTTGAGAATTTAACATCTTGTAACTGTCATGGTAACCAGAAAGGTAAAAACGACTTAAAAACATGCCGTGACGGAAAAAATATGCAAGAGCATCACGGAAAAATGTGAAGACACGCACATCACGCTTGCATGAAAAATTTCCACGCATTGACCACCAACGCCACCTTGTGGCGCGCGGGATTACTGCAAGTACGTCGCGTCATCCACTTCTGTGGCAACTGTGACGCAGGCATTTTGGCAAGGAATGTGGAGTAATAAAAATGCGGGCAAGCGGGAGCTCACTCCAACCATTTATAGCGGTATACAACAGATGAGGGTGAGCACACTTCAGCATAGGCGCAGTAATATGAGGAGGTGCAAAGTTCAGCGGCTAAATTCGAAATACTGCTATCTGCTTATCCCTCAGAAGCATTCAACTACCACCGCGGTTTGTTGTGGAAACAATGAATTCTGAACAGAAAGACACATCTAGCAACCTTTCTGATAGCTGTTAGACTTTGAGAAAGCTGTTGATTTATGATTTTTAAAAGGAATGCTCCCCATTCGAAAATATTGAAGCAAACATCAGATGTGATAAAATAAGCGTCCCTTAAGCTATTGGCCTTAAAAAGTTTAAACACAACTATCAATATAACTTAAAACTATACAATATATTGAATTGGAGAAGACTGATCAGACAATGTAATTTCTCCATTAAGTAAATATGCTTCCCAATGCGTCATGTTATTATGGCTTTATGGATGCTTGGCTGACCTTGAAATAGTATGCACGAAATAGTGTGCACATCTTCATGGAAGTATAGTTTACAAAAAAGAGGGTTTTAATCATAAGACGGAGAGGGCTGTGAACTGCACCGAATGATCTTCAAGGTGGCTATTTCAGTTCAAAATCCCATGCAAATGTGGAATACTCCCTTTACCTACCAAACTATGAATGCGGTGCCAGCTGGCAATCGTGGTGTTTGGTATAAATGTGGGTTTTTTGTATGAATGTGAGTTTTACTGTGATGTTTCTGGTGCATGTTTATCGTACCGTGTTGATAAATGACAACCAAATCAGCCTCCCATGTCTACTCTCCATTGTAAATGGGCTGTGCTAAGACATGCTAAACTGGGCTCCTATTAGCACTGGGATTTCGTGATTTCGTTTTGCTGCATAGTAAAAAACACCACTTGTGCTCAGATGGATGTACACTATAACATGCAAATAAGTAATCTCTGTCCGCCTCGTTAGCTCAGTTGGTTAGAGCACGTGTGGTCTGATCCATCCACCCGTGGTGGGGTGGATTCGAGTTGCCTTAGGTGCTCGCTATATGCCCTGGACTTGGATGGCCTGCGGCCGGTGGCAGCGGCCGCTTTAAGAATCCTATGATTTCAGAGGGCAGGATGGGCCGTGCCGACCAATGCGTGACGTTTTACGTTCCCCGCCGAAGTCTGGCGTTGACCTGCAATCTCACGATCGGATGGTGGGGTCGGGTCTTTACAACTAATTTTGCTTATTGTTTGCTGCGCGATCCTAGAAATCCAGCGATACAAACGGCTCCGACTAAATCTTACAAAAGTTTTAAAAAAGCACATTCAGAGGTATACATAATTTGAAATGCACGGAGCATAATCTTGACATAACCTTGCTTACGAATCAGAGCATAACCTTGCTTTAGCACTGCCTAAACACCATCATCACCACACCCCGAAAGTCTGCGCGGTCGCAGAGGTGGGCGGTCGATCCTCTGTGCTGCTGAGACTGCACCTCACCCCTCCTGCGGCAGGTTGACGGAGCCGGAGGGCGTGATAACGCACGGCATAGGGAACTATTCCATCGACATGCAGTGCACCTGGCTGGTCGACGGCTCCAAGGATAACCGAACCATTCAGCTGTACATGGACAGCTTTGCCACAGAGTGTGGCTGGGATCATGTCTACATATTCGACGGAGATAGTGTTTATAGCAATCTACTAGCTGTGTACAGGTCAGTGACATGCATGTCAGCGTCGCCTGCGTACCACGGCGGTCGTATGTTGCCAGCGTCGTTGCGCTGAAGACATATGCGTGAGGTATTTCAATGGATGTCAGGTGCATACATCTAATTGAAGACGTTCCATGTATATCGGTGTTTTATCTCACTGAAGTGTGCATCCCTGGCCATGGGTGTAGTTTCGGAAAATCAGTTTGGAAGGGTGGGGACGGAGAGGGCAAACAGTGGTTAAATGACTCAACCGTTCCCAAAATAAACCAACAAATGGCTTCTCCCCGGACTTGGCCACTTGCTTCTCAAAGGGGATGGGATTGGGCAAGAGGTGAGGTGGGTGACCGAAGCCCCGGCCGAACAAAAAACTAACAGACACACCTGTCTGAACACCCCTGTCACCCCCGTCGCCCCTGCCCGACACCATCAAAATCACGAAACAGCCCTGTCTCGGGCATCATCTGCACACGACTCTGCCAGCGCGCTTGTCTAGTTTCATGCCGATGCCGTGCATGCAGCGAGAGCGGTGCCACAGCGGGCCGTGCTGACGCATGGTCATGGCCGCAGCGGGATGGTGCAGTTGGACAAGTACGCAAGCCACAACCTGACGTCGCTGGAGGCCAAGTCGGGGGCCGCCTACATCCACTTCTACTCGGACGCGGCGTACAACATGACCGGCTTCAAGATCACCTACAGGTAGCGACTGAGCCGACGACGTCAGCCACTGCTGGGGTGGCCTGGTCGGGGGCGTGGTGGAGGTGCTCTATGTGTGCTGTCAGGCTGAGTGTGTGTGTCTCTCCGTTTGCGGCACGCGCGTGCCGTCGGATATCGCGCCGACGCATGTAGCCGGGGCTAGCGTTCGTCTGTGCCCGTCAAGCTATCACAGCGGCTGACAGGCCGACATCTACTCCCAAGTCGCATGCAGAGCTTCGTCATTTAGGTGGGATTGTCACGTGTTCCGCTTGTCTCGGTGTACGTTCGCGAGGTGCGTGTACGGCAGTCACAGTGTGGGCCGAACGAATCGGCGCTAGGACATTCTGAGGTATGGCGTGTCGTGTTTCTTGTGCTGGCGTACACAGCGTTACTTGATAACTCGGAGCGCAAAAGCGGCGGTCTATTCTTATTTTATTTATATATCTTATCTTATATATCTTATTACTTCCGTATCAATATCATGGGAATGACAAACAGCTTGGGTCCACCTCTTTGTCATCTTCCGGAGCAGCCTTTGATGGTTGCGCTACCAATGACAGGGTACCACTTTGAGGCTTTATTGTTCACACTGCAGAGTTCGTGTTGTCTGCCGAGTTTCCATGTTGTGATGTAAGCAATGCATGTAAACCGAGAGGGCCCAAAACAGTGCCGGCACCTTAGTCTCGGCCTTTGCAATGCTGCCATAGTAGGCGCGTGGGGCAAAAATGTATATGAACTTTTGCTTTCTAATTTATTTAAAAGCCTGGACTAAGGTTGGTGTTAATTTTTATTTTTAGTAGCACAGTTTTGCCTAATTTGGCTCCTGAGCGTGCCCTTGACGTAAATAATGCGTAGCCGGCGATTGGCTTGTCGCTAACACAGACGTATCTCTGCAATCAAAGGTCAGAAATAATCCAATTTCAAATATTTTTCATACACGAGCGAAAAGATCGGGGCTCAATCTCGCAGTGAACAGGAACCACACAAAACCAAGTTTGAACTAAGTCTCAGATGAACGTTGCACGTGCCGTCCGTGCCCGGGCGCCGCGTTTCTGCAACACTCAGAGGCAGCTACAGATGCACAGCAATGGTGTCGAGACTGTCGTTCGGTGCCGGTGACCGGCGGCGGCGGCTGCGGCAGGTACCACTCGTGCCCGAGCGTCTCCAGTCGGCTGAACTGCTCTGGCAACGGCGCCTGCGACCCGGAGTCGGGCCAGTGCACGTGCAACGCCGGCTGGAGCGGGCGCGCCTGCAGCGAGCCGCACTGCCCGCGCGACTGCAGCGGCCGCGGCGTCTGCGACCCCCAGCAGCACCGCTGCCGCTGCCACGACGGCTACACGGGTGAGCGCGGCCGCCGCCTCCCGACCGGCTAGCACGCAGCCTCGGCCGGCAGTTAACCCGCAGTCAGCAGGGCGCGTTTGGTAACGCCGCCGCGTCTGTCTGTAGTCCTCTTTGTTCTGTTAAAATGTCGTATAGGTTTTGTGTAACTCATTATTTAGTATATCTACCTTGATGTATAGCCACCTTGAACGCGAGAGGCATGGGCTCAGTTGTTGAAACACGCGCTGCTGGCTGCGTCGATCGTTGCCTGTAATCTGGCTGACTGGGCGAGTGTGTGCCGTTGCCTTGAGCCTGCGCCACCGCTCGTGTGCCGACCTGCTGACGGGCGCGTGGGTGCGGCCGGCGGCCTGCAGGCTCCGACTGTAGCCAGGGGGAGGAGCTGGGCTACTGGGAGTTGCTGCCACCCTCCAAGTACGTGCCACCCGGCCGCGCCTCCCACGCTTCCGTCGTCAAGGGCGACTCCATCTGGCTGCTCGGAGGGGAGTCCTTTGCGCCCAGCGACTTCGTCGTCAAATATGACGTCAACGGTGAGTGATTCTCGTCAACCACTTATCTGTTGTGTAGTGCACTTGAGCCTTCTTCCAAAACAGTCGTCAGTTTCTAGAGTCTTTGGGGCACATCGCTGGGAGTTTACAAGTATGTTACATGGGAAACGCCGCTTGCCTCCCGGCTGTATTCATCTGAGAACAACTACACGTCAGATCGATATCTGGGGACAACCGAGCCGTCTTCATGCGACTGGCTAACCACTGCATCTCTTGTGCGACATTCGAATAAATACTGGCCATAAGGTATATAACATTTGGCCGTTCAGACGCATGTCGTGTCCATACTTAAGGTCTGAAGTCATGGCTAATGATGCCCCCCCCCCCCCAAAAGGGGGAAAAAGAAACTAACACCGCAATCGCCATGTAGACACTGTTCCATGCTCTGGTACGTGATTACTCGCCGTGATTTTACATCGTTATCCTGAACTAACGTCGAACCAGTAGACTCAACGCCGAATGCAGACGATTAGGAGAGGATGGTGTCGCAAACACGGGTGGTGCGTGACCGGGTGGTGCCAACTGACCCAGCCGGCAATCGACGGACGAGCTTCACCTCAGGTGGTGGAGCATGCCTTAGTAGAGGCATGAAGAAAGCGGAAGTCATACAGGCGACCTGTTCATCCTTCATGTGCAAAAGGCAGGTCACCCTCACATACCTTTATGGTATGCAAATCGGAAAAGGCCATTGATTTTGCTATTTTAAGCCATTTTTTGATGATGTTCAGGTCACTCTGGGGTCGGTCCCAGGTTTAGTCGACCAGCTAACCTTCGCTGTTGATGACAGGTTGTATTCATCTTTGAGCATTTAATCTGTGGGTGGCTGTACGGTTGGTCTCGGAGACTGCGGAGACTTTCCACAGAAGCGGAAATGTCATGCATTCTTACAGTGAACAGCATCAGATCTGGTGCTACTGAACAGATTCACATGAGATACACCATCTCGATACCACCGCTATCAGCGGATACGTTCTGTCTGTCTGCTCACACTTTCCGTTTCATGGCCATTTTGTCACGGAGTTGCGGAACACCAGCACGTGGTTTACACCAGTGGGAGGCACTCCTATGGTGATGTCTCGGGGCTGGATGGGATTCTGTATTCACCTACAGCACGTCTGTGCTTGCTTGTCTGGTATCAGCCGTACACTGTGCTTCGCGCCCGAAAGCTCCAACTACTGCTACCGCTGAGCAATGCGTGTGACTGGTGAAAGATTTGGGATAAGAGCCCTCTCGTCCAGCCATGACCATTTCAGGCCCATGGGATGGAGGAGAGTTGCTAACGGCCGGGCAGAACCGCATGCGCCTGGGGTCCCTCCACCGAGACTTAGCCCGCACAGGGACCTTTCTTCGGTGTGCTCGACGCTCGGACCAGGCCCCCACCATTGGGTACTCAGGTCCACTCATGGGGGGAACATGCAGCCTGTCCCGGATAAGTGGGACGTCGCGAAGATGCAGGACAAAGCGAGAAAGATAATACAAGGGCGGATGGTATGCAAGTCAAAAAAGGTCATTGGTTTTTCCATTGTAAATCATTTTTTGCTGATCCCAAGGTCACTCTGGGGTCGGTCCTAAGTGCAGTCGACCAGCTAGCCCTTGCTGTTGATGACAGATTGTGTTCGTCTTTGAACAACTAATGCGTGTGGCTGTACTGTTGGTTTCGGAGACTACAGCTGTACGGTGATTGCGTTGGCCTCTGACGGGCCCCGCTGGTCGCCCTCCGGCGTTCCCTCTCCCCCGGTCGCCATGCTCGGCCTGCGCCGCTCAGTGCAGCGGCTGGTCGCAGAGCGGCATCAACTCGAAGCTGGGCGCCGTGTCGTACCAGAGGCCGCATCTGTCGGTCGCCGCGGCCGTCACCGGTCGGGCGCCGTCGAGTGCGTAGTTGTTCGGCTCCATGTCGTAGCTTACGGTGTCGTCCCAGGCCTCGAAGTCGAGCGGCGAGCCGTCGTCCCAGCGCCAGCGGCCGGCGCCGTCCAGCTGCAGGCCCAGCCAGCCGTCGGCGGCGCCCGCCTGCAGCAGCTGGGTGATCAGCCGGTTATGGTCAGCTGAGTGCACGACCGTCAGCCGCGCGCCGCCCGGCAGCTGGGCGCAGGCGGCAACGGCGGCCGCGCGCCGGCCGGTCACCGCCGCCAGCGCTGTCACGTGCCGCAGCTGTCCGCCGTGCCGGTAGGTGGCGCGGCGGGCGGTGAGCCGGTACAGCTGGGCGGCGGCCGGCTGCTGACCGCTCTGCGCCCTGTCCGGCGCCGTGAACGCCCGGCACCAGTCGGCCTCGAGCGTCACCGCCTGGCAGGTGGGCAGGCGGCCACAGCGGGCGGCGCACAGCGCCAGGCTCGGCGCCGGCACGGCCGGGCCGCGCGGGGCTAGCGGCCGGCCAGCCGCCGGCTGGCGGTGCAGCCTAGCCTGCTGCGGCAGGCAGAGCGCCGCTGAGGTCAGCAGGCCGGCTGCTGCCAAACGCATGAGCGCGTTCATCGCGGCCGTCCCCCGGCCTCCGGGATCGGCCGTGTCCGGGCCCTGTAGCGGTTCGGACGGCTGGTGTGAAGGGGTTAATTGCTGCCCAGACTGGTTTGCGTGAGGTCGTGAACGGCCTCGTGACTGCCAGTTGTGTCCTGACTGCTTCGGATGGGTTCTTGGACTCCCCCCTACGTGGTTTCTGGGGCCAGGTGGTGTCCGTGCCAGCCGTGTGGGGTCGGCCTTGGCGGCCAGCGGTGACCGATGTCGGATGAGCTGGGCCGGCGGTCCACACCGTCACCGCCGCTCTCTGCGCACCAGACTGAGCCGCGGCCGACGAAGGCGTCCGGCGCGCCGTGGCCGTAAACAGCCACTGCCTTGGCGAGGCCTGTTGGTGAAGCCGGAGCTAGAGCTCCGCCCTCCTCGTTGTTCGGGCGGCGGGCCATGTATTTGCCTGGGTTCTGAGCGCCGCTAGGGTGGTGATCGCACCACGGAGGGGGCGCGCTGAAGCCCCGGGATTTTAAGTGTGGTGTTAGGCGGACGCGACCGGCGTTCGTGTAGCCGGCTGTTGCGGAAGGCTCTGCCCCCCTTGTCTGAGTAAATGCCGCTTGCTCAGGCATTTGGACGTAAATGGAGGTTTACTCGCTTGAAAGTGTTGGACAGGCGACAGTTTGCGTTGAGCACGGCGAACGCCCTGAAGGCCCTCTGACACAATGGCACAAACAACCCTCTGAATAGCATAGACGCGCGGCGACTAACATTGGAGCTGGCGGCAGCGCGATCCGGTGGTCCGCCTTCTGCCGGGTGCTCGTTGAATGGAATGTGGTCAAAATGTTTGTTACTGGTCTTTGGTAGGTAGCGGTTGGGGGAGAGGGCCAGCGAGCATCGACACAAATATGTAGCTAGTCCGTGTCCACGGCCAAGGTTCAAGTGGAAAAGGCTACATGGCTTGACAAGCCGAGAGATCGAAGCGATCTGAAGTGCTGCATGTTTGCTTAGACTTACGCAATCCCTCCGCTGATGGATAGATACGGCACGTGTGGTAGTGAGGTGTAATGGTTTCGCCTCGCATGCCATGATTAGGGGGCTTCATAGTATCTGCTAGCTCGAATGCCCGGCGATGCTTCAGTAATGAAGAAAGGTGCACTGAAAAGTAACGGTTGGAAATGGCTGTATTTGGTTGAAATAAAAATGTCCGTAATAAGGGCCCAACGAAATTTTCAGATGCAAATCAATCCCCGGAGCAATACAGTTAATACAATCTTGAAAAACGAAATACCACACCACCAGACGTTGAACTTCAGAGGCCAAGGCCAAACGATAGCGTACACTCTGTGCGAAATACATAACAGTCTCGGACTAATCCGCGAGATTTTCTGATGTAAGGGTAATTTTTTGAAATACGTCGCCCGTCCTTAGAAATCTTACTGTGACCACCTTATCCGGGCTCCCCTTGTAGCGGCCGGGTCGGGCGCTGAATAGCCGATGCCATACACAACGCAGCATTGCGATGGGTAAGCACAGGCCGGAAAGCGTCGTTCTTTGTGGTCTGGCCGCAGCTGTATTCATGTGGCAAGAATCAGACGGGCCCAGTGCTGCCCCGGACACCGCATTCTTGGTCGTGCCTTCCCGCTACAGGATGAACAGGTCACCTGCGTGACCTGGGATGCCTGAGCCCACTGGAGTAGCCACGTGGGAGAACACTGGCTCAGGTTGAAGCCCATCGCCGTCATGGACTGACCTTGGCTCCTGTTCATAGTCGCGGTATAGTTCTGCTTGGGAGGAGACTGGACCCGATAACGCGAAGGACATCTCAGATACGCTGAGTCGAATGATTGGGTTAAAGACGTTCGCTCCCTTGGCCTTGCCTATCACAATGGTCGCTATTGCAAGGCTTGGGGGTCCGGGTTTAGCAGGACCCTGGCGAGCGTGCCTTGCTTGAACACCACGCCGTGTATGATGGCGGGTCTAATGATTCCAGTCTGTTGAGGCTACAATGGGTTAATCATAGCCTCCTCTGTATCCGGCACGGTGGTCATTGATCTGCAGATCCTTTTTCTCCGCGCTGCTTTCCCAGAAGCTTGGTGTCCATAATCAGCAGGGAAGTTTTTAAGTGCCAGGATGATCTGCTTGCTGAGTGAGGGTGTGTGTTAGTACCGTTCGTCCAGGTGGGGAAGACCTTGGCCAAGAGGCCCACAGATTCGACAGACAAACAGAGGGGCGTTTGCTTTGGATGGTTTGGCGCTGGATTAGGCCGTTGCCATCGTGCAGGAGTTGGTTGGCGAACCGTTTTGCTGTTTTATCGCCATGTAAGTGCGCATACGCTGGCGAGATGACTGCCGATGCTCGGCTCGTTGTGCACTACTCGGCACGCTGTAACTATGCAACGCTGGATATGCAGTCGCGTAGGAAATCCACACCGGAACCGTCACCCAATGTGTGTTACGTTCTCCTAAGCGTTATATTTTGATGTGCGTTCTATCGTCTCCTCGCGACCGACGACTGTGTAATCGATTAGCGCATAGCAGCGGACAATCTTCGCTGCTCTCGCGGTTACTCGCCGTTCTGATGACTTCCAAATGGCGCAGCCCCGGCCACGGCTACCCGACCACCGTTACGACCAGTTGCTACCAAGGTTAGGTTGGGTAATCGTGAACCCGGCTGTCACCAATGGCAACCCGCTGGACAAATTGCTCGCGCCGCACCACACACATGGTCCGATCTAGGCCAAGGTACGGCATAAGCCCTACTCTCCGCGCTGTTGCAGATAAACCCTTTCAGAGACATATACCCTCTGATACAGGTCAACCCTCTGTATCAAAGGGTATATGTCTAATGGTGATTTTTGCCGCTCTCCCCCGTGAGGTGCCACCCTTCCGTGAAGGGAAGATTGAATGCCCCAATTTTCCTTCGGTCGTTTGTGGACGTTTGTAAAGCGCCCCTTCCGACCAAAGGGGAGGAACCAGACTAAAAACGGCTCCCGCAAGGGCACCGACTTTTGTCGGTGTAGGTATTAGCAACCCCATTGTCGTTGGAACAGCGACGAAGGGACCGTGGGCGTTAAGGGGAGTGGGGGGGGGGGGGGGGGGGGCTGCCTTGCGGTTTAGTCATGGCAGTCACCAACACATACCTTTGGCCCGGATTTGTGTCGCTGTGGGTGCCCCGCGAGACTCCGCGCGGAGAGATCGCTTAGCCATGCGCCACCCCCGGCCAGGGGTCACGGAGGTGGTGTGACAGGCGTTGAAGGGTGAGCCGCCGAGCACTGAGCTTGCCCCTTCCACCTTGGTTGGGTCGTGTCCCGGCTCACGGCCGGGGTGCCTGGTTTACCTCTGTGAGTCGAGGCACTAGCCCCGATAACTCGTACCCGGCGAACCCGTACCCGGCGGATCCCGCAGCAACTCTCTGTGCATCGGCCTGTGTAAAGCGCGCTGGTATCCCTGGCGGTGCCTCTCATTGAAGCGGCCCGTCCCCTGCTGGGCTCCGTGGTGGACGGGGAGTCAGCGCACCGAACCACAGAACAAAATCATGGCAAGCAAACACGACCACCAAGCAAAACTTCAACTGCACTGACATATGCTGAGCCGCTGCTGCAATGCTTGCTTATTCGTTCTGCCCAACTTGACGGGGAAGGATAATCTACATGACTGAAGATGAACCCTTTTCAACGCGAACAGGCATTCTGTGTATTTGGTACTCCAAAAGAGGTATTTCGGTATGCCGGCGGCGGACTCGAGGGCAAACTTACGAGGTACGTGGAAGCTAGGAAGCTGTTAACAGGATTGGCCCACATTGATATGGGGTCTTGGACTGAAACAGCCATCTTGAAGCCTTTTCGGTGCTGTTCACAATCCTGCCCTTCCAACGCCTCTATAGTTTCTGAGCCAAACGCCCGCGCAAATGGGCAAACGTATATCGGGGAAAGCGTTTCAAAGTCACTGTGGCATTCATCACGTCGTAGTAACATTATTGAAATCCTGCCGTTCCATAAGCTATGCGGCGATCAAGGCCAAAAAATATCATTGTCGAGGCGTTCATATCTGGGGTTCGTGAGCACGACTTCCAGATGTAGCAGTCGTCGATTGGCTCCCAATCGATGTTCTGAAAGATACGATGACGTAATCAAACCATGACGCAGTGCTGAGCATATTTACTTATCAGGTAATTGTGGTGTTTAGAGCAGTCGTTTCCGCTTAAAAGGTAACACAATATTTATAAGTTGGCTTGTTACATTAAATCTGATGCTTAAATATTTTCAAATATGGAACACTCCCTTTAAACGCTACGGAGCTTTCATACAAGGTAAGGGGAGAGGGATAAGTGATCATGGCTGTGACAGTGCAATCACACCCGAGCAAAAACTCGACGAGAGGGGTCATCCCCCGCTGGAACCTAAAGGGAATGACAGACGAGGAACTCGTGGAGGGGCTGGTGAAGCATGGCGTTGTGTCGGCGAGACGCATCCGCTGTCGGGAGACCGGCCATCTCACAGACGCGGATGCCGTGGTCGTGATATTTAATCGCGCTGTACTACCCGGGGTCCAAAGTCTAGTATACAATATGGCAGCGACGGCGCACATTTCACGACTAGCCATAAGGTTCCCATGTTAAAATGACCTTCAGGCCCACGGCTTTCCAAATCTTGAACATATATATATGCATGAAAAGTGCATAGAAATGAAGCTTGAACAATTCTCTTTCGATTTCCGGGATGAAAAGTGTGCACCGTGGCACTCATTTTCGAGCTATCAGGCAAAGCGCAGACCCATGCACGCGCCACGATGTCTAGGCGTGGGATCGAATCCCGCTGCCGCCAACTCTTTCCAGCAAAGTTGAGATGGAACACGGAGTGAATACGGCCACTGACTGGCGATAGAACTATTGCGTGCAGCAATATTCTGATTTTATATGAACATTATATATATATATATATATATATATACACATACTATGCATATATATGCATATCATGTATAGCCTGAAGATGTATCTGCTGTGCTGTGAAATGTGCTGCGAGCTATTACAAGGAATGCACATGAGATCTTTTTGTGTCTATCAAATATACCTGACAGGCATTATGCAGCCATCGGGCTATGTGCAAGAGCGTATGGCTGGGGCGCATAGCGTTATTGTGCCTGACGCATGGAACCTATCGCGACGGTGGCGGTCCAATGCTGGCCGTCCAACCCGCCCAGAGGTAGGACCAGGCACTGTGTTAGGTTCGTAAGTTGTGATGCTGGCGGCCACTGCTGTGAAGGGTCGGCAATGCCGCCTCAGGACCAGCGCAGCAACGATAGCCTAGTAACATTGCATGCACCGCCGATTGGGAAGCAGCTGTGAAGTGCCATAATGGCGAGCTGTACTGCACAAAGGCCCTGATATGACAATGTTGATAAAACTTCTTTGATTGATCTTGAAGAGCTCAAGCACCTGGAAGACCTATGGCTGAAGTAACCATGCTCCCTCAAACCATTTGCATGAAGGGTTTTTGGCATAAGGTGAATAGAAACATTTTATCATTGGCTCCACTGAATAAATGAACCTGAAAAATCTTGCTCTCACAACACAAAACCCACAAAATAAATATTTGGAACTTCAATATGACATTATTTTTTCCTATTCCTGATCAAGCTCTGTAATTTATAACTTTAACTTCCATCCATTGATCTCAGAGAAGGAAAGGTATACCGAAGCAGCTGAAGTGAGATGGGCCGCTTAGACAGATTTAGAAGGTTCATCAGTATCTGAAACATGTGCAGCTTTGGCTCAAGGCAATGCAAACTATCAATGGCCCTTAGATTAAATAGATGAACTGAAATCAGTAGACCCTGAATGATGCCCCAGTTATACACATTTTTATATGAATACAGCGTGCTGCCCTTTTCTAAACAGTGCATGCGGATAACTCCTTTGGTGACATGTCATCATAAATATACCTGAGCACGCCTTGGCCAATCACTTCGCATGCAGCATTCCACAAGCATCCAGCAGCCGGTAGCCTAAGCCACGACATTCATAGCTGGCAAGTTGTGCAGTAATGAATCATTACATTATCGGTTTTGCTGCAGAATGTTGAATGAGTCATTAGATGTAAACTGAGACATAATGTGACTTGGCAAAGAACAACATACATCCGATTAGCCCAGAGGCATCTGAAATTGCTTGAACACAATCTGATCCTCCAACCACCACCCCCAATGCCGCACCACAATTCAAGTGTCCTGCGTCTGAGAAATGTGATTACACTTAATCGCCACAAACAAGCCAAAGATGCCGCTAGCACAGCACTGCCAACTTTTGGTACAACATCCTAAATCTGGTGTTAATTCCGATTCTGGTATACTTATAGTATGTGTCGATACCTACTAGTCAAAACTTTGGAGTACCCGGTGTTGTATTGCCCTGGTACTACCCGAGAGAATCACGATCGGCTACCAGTGTATTCCGGTTCAACAGCACATCGCCGGCCCTGTCGGAGGCTGTGACTCAAATTTTGACCCTGAGGGTCGGGGGCGGACCCTCGTTCCGCGGAGTGCCGTCAAGCCGAAAGGTCGAGCGGGGAACTCTGTCCGACGACTTCTCCAAGCGTTGGACTAATGTGGAAACATTACGATGAGAGACCGGCAAGCCAATCTCAACTGAATACAGACACTCGAGTCATCTTTACGCCGACGGTTCGAAGACTTCTGGCGAAAGTTGCGCGTATGGTTTCGTGGCGTGGTTCTCGTGTGGAAGCGCCGTCTCGTCATGCTTCCGTGTTGACCGCTCAACATCAGGCAATCTTCATGTGTTTTGACTGTATCTCCGAACTTCATTTATCATCTTTCACTTAGCCAATTTGCTGAGCTCAGTCCACCTGCTCCAACGGCACACCCGGGAGACGCCAACTATCACGCTCATCCGAGAAAAACTGGGAGCTATCGCTGCGGCGACCATGGCATGGATTTCGAGCCGTATTAGAATCACGGGAAATGAGTCGGCAGGTGAGTCTGCCAAGGCAGGCACACTCCAGACACCGAACTACGGTAAACAGACTCTAGCGTGATGTTACATTTAAGTATGATTATAGAGCATGCTAAATTCTTTGAATGCAACTTAAATTCTTAAAGCCGACTCGAACACTCGAGAAGTTGCACAATTTGTCCCAGGTGGCGTCGATGTGCTACGGTGTGCACCTGCCCGTCTTATTCTTTTGAAACTGAACTACCGCTTTGCCGGGCTGTCAACAGGTGGCGTGTGGGAGCCGTTCCATACCCGCAGCCCCCAAGTGCCGAAGCCTCGGTACGGACACTCGGCTGTGCTCAGAGGGGTAAGTGGGACGCATGCCGTCGTCTGCGCTCGCTGGCGGACACTACCGCCGTGCCGCGCCATTCATGGGATGAGCGAGATGGCGCGTAGACCCCGGGCCGCGGATATGCCACTTCGGAGCGAAGTTGACGGCCGTGTGGTGTCACCTCGTCACGGTGCTGCCGCGGTGTCTCACCTCAGCCCCCCCCCCCCCTCCCCCAGTTACCCACAGCGATGTCGGCTTCTCGTTGGCAGCGCGCCCGGCGCCACCGGAACCCGCCTGAGCCCCTGTCCCACGCTCCCCTCCCGCAGGATAACATCTACATGTACGGCGGCGTGACCAACGAGGGCGTGACGACGCGCGAGCTGTGGGCACTGGACACGACCACGCAGAGTTGGGAGGCCAAGAACGTGCGGCCAGACGTGTGCTACCGCGAGGTGTGCGGCCCGCTGGCCGTCGTGGGTCACTCGGCCGTCGTTGTCAGCGACGACCGCATGCTGGTGCTATTCGGACACTCTCCCGTCTACGGATACGTCAACTACGTACAGGCGTACCACTTTGGTGAGTGGTGGCGCGCGTCCGCTGCTGCGGCGCCGGCGGGGAGAGGTGGGTGGGTTGTGGTCGCCGCGTGTCTGGATGGTTCGTGAGCTGACTGCTCCGGCTGGGCCTGACCGCGATGCACCTGCTGGCTCCAGGGACGGGCAAGTGGAGCGTTCACGGCTCGCGGGGCGCTCTGCTGAAGGGCAGCTACGGCCACAGCAGCGTGTGGGACGCACACAGCGGCCTCGTATACGTCTACGGCGGCCACCTGTCCGACAACATCGCCACCTACTTCATGTCCAACTTGCTGCACGCCCTCAACCCGGACACGATGGAGTGGTGAGTGGGGAGCGCTGACCGGTGCTGCGCGGAGTGAGCCGAGCCCACCCGGGTCCAGTGGAATGCTGGGCGGGCAGGTCCCGCCCCGACACTGTGCAGTAGTTCCTGGCGGGCTACATGGCCTGGATCCAGTTATCGGTCACCTTAATGCTCGCTTTCTCTATTGATACGACAGCGGATGTGTCTTGAACCCGGCGGCGACCCTCACGCTCGAGCCGCGTCCCGTGCAGTGGGATGCGGCGGCGAGTGTGAGATGAGCTATGACCGTTGCGTCAGTTGCGGACACGTACAAGCGGCGTGCCGGCCGTGCCCCTGCGCGTGCCGTGACGGCGTGCCGCCTCCGCTTTCTGCAGGACGCGGCTCTCGTCGGTCGACTCGTCCCGCTTCCTGCACTCGGCCGTCATGCTGGACGGCCTGATGCTGGTGTTTGGCGGCAATACGCACAACGACACATCGTACAGCCAGGGCGCGCGCTGCTACAGCCAGTCGTTCCTGGCGTACGACCCCAGCTGCGACCGCTGGCACCGGCTGACGTCGCCCCTCCACTTCCACCACGACCTCTCGCGCTACGGCCACGCCGCCGTCGTGTTCGAGGGCAGCATGTACGTGGTGGGCGGCTACAACGGCCGCATGTTCAACGACGTGCTGCGCTTCCGGCCCGGCCGCTGCGATGGCAACGGCAGCAGCAAGTCTTGCTTGGCCAGCGCCACCATCGGCGCCAAGTGCGCCTGGAACGTCAAGGCGCGCGCCTGCGAGCCGTTCGCCAGCGCCGGCGCCAAGGTGGGTGTCGCACCACGCGGAGGAAGGTGTTCAGAGTTGCGCTCGCGGACGGGGGTCTGCGCGATTTGATGTTGGGGAACGGTGGGGTGCTGGGTGTCTATAGGTGGGAGCGTGCAGCCGCGCGGGCTGTTTGTGCGGGTGGTGGCATCGATCGGTGATGGCTGTACGGAGCAGGTGTGCTCATACGCGGGGACGGTAGGCCGGCTTTCCGCGCGGTTCAAAGTGCTGGATGGATTCCGGACTGGGCTGGATGCCGTCGGCCGGGATGGCTCAGCCAGGACTGCCTTCCCATCGAATTGAGGAGCGTGCGAGGAGGGCTTGCAACGTTTTTGTTGGATGACCACGCCCCGTCAGGCCCGTTTTTGTTAGATGACCATGCCCTGTCAGGCCCGCCATTAACCAGCGAGTGCCAGACTTCGTGCTAAACGTACCGCTTCTCTCACGTGTGCCGTCCCAGTGGGATGTACCGAGCGGAGCTGGGAACGCAACCCCTGCGCGTGCCTCGATGGGGAGGCTGACACTGCCCGCCGGCCCGCCAGACGCACGTGCTGTGTAATGCCGACGACGAGGGGGACGGACCGAGCGCGGCCGATGAGTGCGCTGCCATCGCCTTCTGCCCCACGTGCATCTTCTCCAAGCACGACTGCGTGTGGTGTGGCAAGACCTGCGCCCACCAAAAGTGCAAAGGCATCAGCAAGGTGAGAACCGCGGAGTTCTGGTGTCGGCCTACGCGGCGGCTGGCTTTGTGTGGGTGAATACCGGGCAGGGTCGTAGTGTCTGCCTCCGCGGCGGCTGGCTGTGTGGGTGAACACCGAGCAGAGTCCTGGTGTCGGCCCGCGCGGCGGGTGACTGTGTATGAATGAACACCGAGCAGAGTCCTGTTGTCGGCCTGCGCGGCGGCTGGCTGTGTGGGTGAACACCGAGCAGAGTCCTGGTGTCGGCCCGCGCGGCGGGTGACTGTGTATGAATGAACACCGAGCAGGGTCAGACCAGAGCTCGTTGGGTGACCGTGTTACTTGCCAGGAGTGTCTCGAATTCCATTGAGTACCATTAATGACGCAATTTGCGTGGCATGCTTGCTGCAGACACTATTCAACATTATTGAGAGTACAATTTACTGCACTCGTTCCAAGGCCGGTCAATTTTCACACAGACCCACAGAACACAAGTGCCACTCTGAGACGTTAAGCAGGACTCCAGTGGGATCAACGAAATGCTTGAATCTCATGATATTGAAATCTGAAACATAGTAATCACAATTCACAGACGTATGTTCAGGACGGCCACACGATTCCATGGTTTTGCCAAGTTGCTCAAAATCATGGTGCATTAAGTCCAAGTTAAAAGAATACATACTACAGTGCGCTGTATCAAGCATTTTGGTTTAATGTAGGGTGCGCCTGGCCGTGTGGGAAGTCCTTTGACGTATATTGTTTTCTCCGATAAGTGCCCACGGATATTATTCATTTACGTTGGGCAGATCGGGGAATTTTCATCGCACATGTGTCATCGGGCATAGGCATGGCAAACAAAAAAACGCTTTCCGTCACGACTACTGTCGGAAAATTCTCCGAAGCTCTTCCTTTGCGTGGAAAATTATCTGGGGCAATTTTCCGGGTTGGCAGCGCCGAAAACCATCCAGGAAATTTTCAAACGTTTCATATACTTCTCTCAGATTATCTACCGGCCGAATGCACCCAGAATACCCTGCCACGATGAAGCTCAGACAGTTAAAAATGCTCCACGCAAAACATCTCGCGATGACTTCTTATTCAAACTCGCCAATGTCCCTGAAATGCAATAGTAGACATTTATTCACCACCCCTTATACACCTTTTGCGCTCGTGCCGTTGCTGCAGCTGTCTGCCCAGCGATCCCCTCACTTCGTGCCCGTTTCTCTGCCGTCTGTCATTGGCCGCTGCCCTGTTGGTGCCGACGTGCGGAGTGTGGGCGTGTCTGCCTGACGGCAGTCTCCGCCTGTCTCCCCGCAGCCAATCACGTCGGCCGACCAATGCCAGGCCAACTACGCCTCCAACTGCAACCTGCTGCACAACTGTCACGCGTGCCACACCGAGCCGTACTGCAAGTGGGAGCACGACCACAAGTGCTACACCTACATCGTCGAGACCAAAGGTCAGCCATGGGCGACCCGGGCTGCACCGCACCCCTCCCTGAGCCCGACCGCTCCACAGCAGTGGGGTAGAGCGCTGACAGGCCGGGCTGGCACGGGCTACACACGGGCAAAGGGAATGTTGTTGGCAACGTAGTGGGCGATGCGATGCCGCGTCTTTTCTGATGCTGGGTAGCTTACGGTCAGGGACATTTCTGCCGCTCAGATCGTTCAGCTGTCTCTCGCGTTTTACATGTGGTAAGGGTGTTTTTACAGTTGTGTCCATTACTGTCACGTTCGCTGCCGCGTTTGGTATAACGTCTTGATGGGCGGCGTCACGGCCCGTCCCTCGTGATGATCCATACGGCTTATATTTTCCACCTCGTGGTTGCCCCCGCTGCTCTCGGACTACCGCGATCTTGTGGCAGAACCGCCCATTCGTGAGTACCTAGACCGCGCTGGCGCGTATGTTTGTGTGATTGTGCGTTGATTTTGAGCGGGTAACCAAACCCAGAGCTGATCCAAAACTGCTTAAACATTTTAGTCGGGGTTAATGTTACGTTCCTGTTGCGTCCGTCTTACGTTGCTTGAAATGCGAACTCTGCTTTCGCACTTCAGCTTGTTTTTGCCGTCATTGCGTATTTCTGCATAACTTGATCTTAGTGCACAAGCTGCTTCCTTCGTCAAAAATACAGCGTTTAAATGATGTTGCATTGGTGTAAGGTGAGCATAGATGATCACCTTCCTGTCTTTTTCGGCTTTGTTATTTTTATCTTACTGTGGTGCATTCATACTTGTGTGTCAAGGTCCGGATTACTGCATAGGCTGGGCATTGGGGATCTACACTGGGAAAGCGTGTTGTCGCTGAACCCCTGGCATCAAAGTCCCCGGTGGTAGCGATGGTCCTGCGCGGACGCAGCTGACCCCGGTGGGAATGATGGTCCCGCGCGGGGCGCAGCTGACCCCGGTGGGGGTGATGGTCCCGCGCGGGGCGCAGCTGACCCCGGTGGGGGTGATGGTCCCGCGCGGGGCGCAGCTGACCCCGGTGGGGGTGATGGTCCCGCGCGAGGCGCAGCTGACCCCGGGGGGGGGGGGGTAATGGTCCCGCGCGGGGCGCAGCTGACCCCGGTGGGGGTGATGGTCCCGCGCGAGGCGCAGCTGACCCCGGGGGGGGGGGGGTAATGGGCCCGCGCGGGGCGCAGCTGACCCCGGTGGGGGTGATGGTCCCGCGCGGGGCGCAGCTGACCCCGGTGGGAGTGATGGTCCTGCGCGGGGCGCAGCTGACCCCGGTGGGGATGATGGTCCCGCGCGGGGCGCAGCTGACCCCGGTGGGGGTGATGGTCCTGCGCGGGGCGCAGCTGACCCCGGTGGGGGTGATGGTCCCGCGCGGGGCGCAGCTGACCCCGGTGGGGGTGATGGTCCCGCGCGCAGACGCAGCTGACCCTGGTGGGAGTGATGGTCCCGCGCGGGGCGCAGCTGACCCCGGTGGGAGTGATGGTCCCGCGCGAGGCGCAGCTGACGTGACTGCCCCCGTCCGTGCAGCCAACAACAAGACCGAGAGAGAGATGGTGAGCAAGATCCAGCAGGCGCCTTGCGGCCCTTCCTGCAGCGAGCGCACCACCTGCGACAACTGCACGGCCGCCAGCTGCATGTGGTGCATCAACAAGATGAGGTACGCCCGGCTCGTTGTGCCTCACTGTGCCTCTACACACACACGCACGCATGCACGCATACACCACGAGCCCAACGCCACCCGCTGCTTAGCCGGCCCCTGTACTGCTGGCTAGCGGTACAGGGGCCGACCGTTATAAGAATGGACAATTAACACCGACTTGGACGCTTGAAATAAAGCCCTTATCCCTCTCCCTCCCCCTCTCCCTCTCTATTTTTCGCGCCCTCGCCCTCGCCCTCGCCCTCGCCCTCGCCCTCGCCCTCGCCCTCGCCCTCGCCCTCGCCCTCGCCCTCGCCCTCGCCCTCGCCCTCGCCCTCGCCCTCGCCCTCGCCCTCGCCCTCGCCCTCGCCCTCGCCCTCGCCCTCGCCCTCGCCCTCGCCCTCGCCCTCGCCCTCGCCTTGCCGATTTCGCATTGTTTTACTGTGACTCATGCAGTTGGGTCACTTGATCGAAGGAGAGAATGATTTTGTGTGGGGGGAGGATCTAGCAGGGCTCAAAATGAAAGCTTATTGAAATGCGTCAAGGTTGATGTCAAACGAATTCTTCAACGAAATTGGCTCAATGGTAAGTATAAAAATGCGATGCGAGCACACTTGACCTCCCCCCCCCCCCCAATCTGACCTGTTATTCGACCTTTCCATTCGCTCTTTGACCTCGACGAAGAGAAAAGTGCCAAGCTGTGTGAAGTTAAATAATATGTGCCAAACAGACCTTCACGTTGCATCCAGACTGCATCAAATGTTGATATGAATACACCGCAGAAGGCGAAAGGCTTCGTTCCAAGCACTGAAGTCCATGTTTATTTTATATATATTATGTTTTTTTTGCTAACGTCATGCTGGGCCCATCAGAGAGAAAATAGCTTAAAACCACCCAACTATAAGTTTTGTTGCGCACGTCCTCTTAATCATACACGAATGGTCATAATGACACTACAGAACTCACCTTGAATCGGATAACTAGACAGGCCCTGAGCACCCAAATTTTCCACCTAAGTGTTATTCTGGAACTCCCAAATGTACGGGCCGCGGGAACATGACAGCGGCTGTCACCGGCCTCCGGGTCCTTGTTGACCCGTGGTGGAACAGTGCACGGTCGGTGAGTGGAGGCCCATCTGAGAGAACAGGGTGGCACCAGGCGTCATCTTGATGTTCGGAGCCTTGATCGAAAAGACGTGGCGTTTATGTTGTTTATGTTGTTATGTGTTTTCTATCTGTTATATGATAATGCCTGTTGCCGGCAGTGCGTGTATACGGTGGGTCGTGGCGGCATTTTCGCCTGCATTTATGGCACGGGCGCGGTATGGCTGTGCTTCACACTGTCACATATGGATGACTTCGGCACCGACGCCGCCTTTCGACGGTGTGCGAAGTCCGTGACGGCTTACGGGGTCAATGACCGACGGATCTGCGGCCTCAGGTGCGTGGAGAACAACGCATACGTGGCGTCCTTCCCGTACGGCCAGTGCATGGAGTGGACCACGCAGAAGGCCAAGTGTGACGTCATCCCGCCCGGTGAGTGACGTCATGCATCTGACGCCTCCGCGGACGACTGTTCTGATGCATCGGAGACCGCCGGGCGGGGCAGTGCCAGCGGTGGCCTCCTCCGTGACAGAGGAACACTGGGGGTGGCGGAGCGGCGCTGGTGGTGCGGACTCCGAGCCTACCGTCGGCCCACCGCTGCCCCCGCGTGTCTCAACCGGCCCTGCCGCCCGTTGTGTGGGTGCTGCTATGGCGAGCAGCTCACCCGGCGCCGGTCCCGGCAGGCGGCTCTCACCCGGCCTTGCTGCCCGTTGTGTGGGTGCTGCCGTAGCGAGCAGCTCACCCGGCGCCGGTCCCGGCAGGCGGCTCTCACCCGGCCTTGCTGCCCGTTGTGTGGGTGCTGCCGTAGCGAGCAGCTCACCCGGCGCCGGTCCCGGCAGGCGGCTCTCACCCGGCCCTGCTGCCCGTTGTGTGGGTGCTGCCGTAGCGAGCAGCTCACCCGGCGTCGGTCCCGGCAGGCGGCTCTCACCCGGCCTTGCTGCCCGTTGTGTGGGTGCTGCCGTAGCAAGCAGCTCACTCGGCATCGGTCCCGGCAGGCGGCTCGTCCTGTAACGCGCACCAGACGTGCGAGCGGTGCCAGGAGGACCCGGGCTGCGGCTGGTGCGACAACGGCTCCGGCACCGGGGTCGGCAGCTGCCTGGCCGGCGGCTTCAGCGGTCCGTTAGACCAGCAGTGTCCCAACAAGCTATGGAACTTCCTCAGCTGCCCACGTGAGTGCATCGCCGCCCTGCCGGACGGCGGGGGGGGGGGGGGGGCGGGACGAACGGTCGGCAGTCTGTGGACGGGTTTGGGGTTGGCGAGGGACGCTCTTGGTACGGAGTGGCATCTTGGGAGTGATCGGTGTGTGAGACGCTGAGGGTTGAGAGTGGGAGCGGCAGATGCGGAGGAAGGGCAGTTAAAGCTCTACAGCGGGGTGGCTGCACAGGCGGCGGGGTGGTCGCCAGCGTTAACAGCTGGCGACGTGTGACTGGCGTGAGTCTCATTCACATGGGGGCGAACAGTAACCGCCACAGATATTTCAAACACCAGACTGACGTTCGGCGCGTGGTCGCTGGTGTTTGGACATGGGCTCAGCCACAGACTGGTGCCACGCACCGCCAGACCCCCACACCATCGCCACCACCGCGTCACCCCCGGCCAACAACGACGTGCCCTCCCACCGCAGCCTGCCAGTGCAACGGACACAGCACCTGCTACCCGGGCAACAGCACGTGTCAGCCGTGCGGCGACCTGACCGACGGCGACCACTGCCACATCTGTCAGCCGGGCTTCTTCGGCGATCCCGTCAACGGCGGCAAGTGCCAGCGTAAGTAGTGTCGGCGGACGGACGGGGCGGCGGGCCTCGCTGGCGGGCGCCGGCGCTCCGGTCGGCGCCGCAGGCCGTGAGACGGCTGCCGAGCGGCGGCCGCGGGCGGCGGAGTGAGTGGATCGGGCTCGGTTTGATCGCTGCTCCCAGGTTTGGGGCTTGGCCTCTTGGCTATGATGTGATCCGTGTGGCGGGGGGGGGGGGGGGGGGGCGTGCGGAGCGTGTGATCCGACGGCAGGTGGGGTGGGGGCGGTGACGTGCCGGGAGGGCGGCCGTGTGTCTCGTGTGGTGCTGACTCCTGACGGCTGGGTGTGTGCGACGCTTTCACCGAACGCCAGAATGTGGCGCGAACGGCTCGTCGTCATCCCGGCACGCACGCTGTTGCAGCGTGCGACTGCAACAACCACGGCACCGACTGCCACTCCGAGACGGGCAAGTGCTACTGCAACACCAAGGGCATCATCGGCGACCACTGCGAGCGCTGCGACACGCAGAACAAGTTCCTCGGCGACCCTTCCAGCGGCGACGACTGCTTCTGTGAGTGACCCTGTTGTGTCGTGGGGGGACGGGACGACGGCACCGGGCCGGCGGTCTTGTTCAGCCGCCAGTGACGGCGGCATGGGCGCTGGTTTGCACCAGCCTCGTGTGTACCAGCGCCAGTCTGGTGTACAGGTTGAAGTGTATGCATCGCAGCTCAAAGCGATGTCAAGGGTGTGGTACGTTGTGCATCACAGCAACTGCTGTGCGTGCGCGGGAAAAGGGTATTGGCTATTCATCCTTGTGTCGGTATGTTTCAGACAACTTGGCGCTGGACTTCCAGTTCACGTTCAACATGACAAAGTCGGAGGATCTCCATTTCAAGCGCATCAACTTCATGAACCGCCCGATACGGAGCGATCTCAACACGGACTTCCACATCACGTGTTCGCAGGCCGCCAAGATGAACATTACGGTGAAAACGGGTGAGCACCGCCGCGTGCGCAGTAATTGTCAGTATCTTGCCGGGAGCTTCGGCTGTTTTCTCAGCGCTAGTTATGACGGGTGTCGGCTCTCGGGTCGCTGGTCGATATGAGCTGCGTCGGAGCGCTCCTCGCTCTAGCGGTGGGCCGCGTCCTGTGCGTTTTTGTCCATCGGTTATGCCGTTCTTGCTCGCGGCCTTGCAAGCATCTGGATGTACCGCCTCTTCGCTGAACTCTGAAACAAAACCAAGCGGAGCATCAGTCCGTTTTCAACGAGCTAAATATCATCTTGCTCCTTGAGCAGCGCAAGGGAGAGCGACTTACGTTTGGTTTCCAGCGACCAGTCCCCTGCTGACTTGGCCAGTCTGCCCCCCGCAGCCAGCCTTGTCGGCCCTGTCCGTGCCGTTCCTCACCGTACCGTCCCTGACTGCGCCGTCCCTCACCGCGCCACCCCTTACCATGCGTCCCTGCTGTGTCGCCCCGTGCCGCGGCTGCCGTGACCGCGACATCGCTGCTGGCCGTGCCGCAGTGCTGGAGGCGGAGCGGGTGATCCTGGCCGACTACAACTGCACTCAGTACGAGCGCACCTTCACCCAGTCCGAGTACAACTTCGGTACGCCCGACAACACCACCTTCTACGTGTACGTGTACAACCTGCGGCCGCCGCTGTTCGTGCAGGTGGCCTTCTCGCAGCACCCGCGACTCAACCTGCGCCAGTTCTTCATCACCTTCTCCACGTGAGTGACGCGGCATGCCCCATGCCGCTGTCCGGTTGTGTTGTGGGTTCGACGGAGCCAGAGGAAGGCGCGCGAGCAGCCAAGTGGTCGTGCCTCCTTGTATGCCTTTGTTTCACACTTTTGGGCTTTTCGCTATTGACTAGGTTACTCTGGGTTAGAACCAAGTAAATCTTGGCCAACTTTTTGAAATGACTCAATGTTTTGGCGCAATTGCATGCATGATTGAATGTTTATCCTTGTCACCTTGAGACGAATGACAGCGTGCCGGTGGGTTACACACTGCAACAGCGGCCCGGCCGGCTACTGGCTGTAGTGTGAGCCGCCCGATCCTGCCCCAAACAACATCACCGCGAGACGTGAGCCGTCCGATTTTGCCCCAAACAGAATCACCGCGGGTGTGAGCCGTCCGATTCTGCCCCGAACAGAATCACCGCGGGTGTGGGCCGTCCGATTTTGCCCCAAACAGAATCACCGCGGGTGTGAGCCTCCCGACCCTACCCCAAACCGAATCACTGCTGCCGGTCTGGCTGTCTGCGCCACCGCGTCTGGCGCGAGCCCTTGCGGACGGCTGGGTGACGTGTGTCACGCGTCTGGCCGTGCCGCGTCAGCGCACCGGTCCGTCCTCCCGTTAGCGGTGAGCGCCTCTGAGCTGTCGGCCCCGTCCGTCCTCCACGCTATGCTGTCGGGTGGCCCCGGACGCCCCCGGCCTCTCAAGCAGCTGTCTGCCCGTCGGTGCCCCGTCACCGGTCAGTGGGTGTCGACTCGTCACCACCCTGGACCTAGATGTGGGTGTCCGCTTGTGGGTGGTGCCTGCTCTACCTTCGCACCGATCCGTGGGTGGTGCCGGCCCCGCAGCGAGTGCCCGTCGGTGGGTAGTCTCCTGGCTGGCGGGCAGTGTCAGCCCGTGGCTGGTCCCCTGACCTGACCTGACCTGACCTGACGCGTTGCGCCGTCAGCTGTTTCCTGTTGTTGTTGCTCATCGCCGGACTGCTGTGGAAGATTAAGCAAAAGTACGACAACTACCGCCGCCGTCAGGTACGCATTTACAAAGGCCTTCGTCCTGGGCGCAGCCGCTGTACGGGGAGCGGCAGCCTTGGGGGGGGGGGGGGGGGGGGCGGGGCGCGCCGGATGCCAGGCCGCCTCCAGGTGGCGCGCGGGGCGCCGCGGGCTCACGGTGGCGACGGCGATCCCTTGCCGTGGTGGGTGGGCGGTGACGCACAAGTGTGCTGTGTTACCAGTGATCCATCACCCCACACAGCAGTAGGTCCTGCCGCCGTAGGGTGTGAGCCTCAATGTGGTGATCCACGGTAGCGCAGCGCGACTTTTGACCTATGCCGTGGGACTGGGCGCGACTGCGCGGAAGGCGTGCTGGGCACTGGCTGTCGCCTGCTCAGTGTATTTGTGTGTATGAAGCCGACCGAGAGTTTGGGCTTAGTGCGTGTCCCGAGTTTAGTAGTCACTTAGGTCCCGGGCTGGATGTCGGTCGTTTGCGACGTTGGATTAAAGGGGGATTATAGCGTGTACCGCAGACCTAAGTCTGTGTGCTGGCAAACGCTGTAAGTGTGTTCCCGTCCGGCGACGGAACATTGGTCGGCACCGTGCCCATGTGGGTACCAAATGACCACTGCAGTCGACGCGGCCGAAAACCCCGATAAACAAGCAACACCGGTACCATGGCCGCCGGTAACTCCATTAGTCAGGGCGAATTACACAGCCGCTGATCTGACCGCCTTCATCCTGGCAGCGGCTGTTTGTGGAGATGGAGCAGATGGCGAGCCGGCCATACGCCCAGGCGCTGCTGGAGGTGGTGCGCCGCGGGTCGGCCGCGCCCGCCCAGCCCGTCGCCGTCCGAAAACGACACCGGGTACGTAACGGTGTCGCCCGCCGGCGTCCGGCGGCGGACGCACCGTTCGGTGGGTCATATGGCGCCGTGTGGAGGTCGTTTCATTCAGAACCTAAAAATGTATGATACCCGCACAGTGCATTCCAGGACAGATGCTAGAAAACGGCAGTCCCGTGCAGCTCATGAAGTCATTGACGTGCATCGTAGCGATGTTAAGACGCCCGCACGATCCGTTCAGTGCCGTCCAGTTCCAGCGTTGTGCGCGGCTGGCGACTGTTCGCTGCGGCCGGCTGTCGGTTTGACGGCCCGCGTGATCGCGTGTCACCTCAGGCGGTACCCTGCCCGATCGTGCTGGAGCAGTGCTCCGGGAACCGGGCGGCGCTCATCACCGTGGTCATCGAGAGCCCCACGGGCGGCCAGCAGTACTCGCCGGCCGGCGTGTCAGGTGAGTGTAGTCCGGAGCCGGCCCCGGTCCGCCGGCCGGCGCGCCGCAGCCGTCACAGCCGGCCCGCGCCCGCCGCGGCGGCCGGTTGGTCCGATGGCCAGCAGCGGGCCTGGGCCGCCCGCCGCTGCTGTGGGTCGTCAGTCATTGGAGGCGCGTGGTCGCCGCCGCCTCGCCGGCACCGACTGTCTGTGCCGTCTACCGGTGGCTGAGCGCCGGCTGCCCGCCGCTGCCGTGGGATCGTTAGTTATTAGAGACGCGTGGTCGCCGCCGCCTCGCCGGCACCGACTGTGCTCTCTACCGGTGGCTGAGCGCCGGCTGCCCGCCGCTGCCGTGGGATCGTCAGTTATTAGAGACGCGTGGTCGCCGCCGCCTCGCCGGCACCGACTGTCTGTGCTCTCTACCGGTGGCTGAGCGCCGGCCGCTCTGGTTGCAGGCATTATAGTGGGCACGGCGCTGGTGGCGGACGGAACCAGCGGCAAAGATAGCGTGGACCGCTCCACCAAGGCGGACAGCAAGAAGACCCAGAAGACGGTGCCGCCTGGCGCCACCGACGTCTGCATCTAGTGCTCCCCTCCGCTCCTGCCCTCCTCCCCGCGGAACTCAGTCTGCGTGTGTGAGACTTGGATGTGCATGTGCTTCGCGCTCCCCGGGCTGCTGACGGCGGGCGCCCGGATTGTGATAATGTAGTCAATACACATAATGAATGCTTTATATATATTAGAGACCCTGTCTACTTTGTAGAGTCGGTCGGTGGGTGGGTAGGTGGGTTCTCTGCCGTCGTCACAACGGCGGCCTTGTTTGTTTTGATCACTGTCGGGTAGGGCCAGACGCCTGACAATAACCTGTCTTCTCACGAGCCACCGCGCGCGAGGAGGCCGCGACGACGGTGGGCTCCCGTCTAGTGTAGGCGCGCCGTTTTGTAATGTGTTTGCCTGCTGTTTTGTTGTATCCACTCATCACGTCTGGCAGGACACCGTCACGTATTTATTACCATTCCTGTTAGCGATTCATTCATGGCCGCTCACTAATGGTAATGGAATTAAAGGCCTATCTTTCAATATAAAAGCTATCCACGGTGGTGTGTGTTGGCCTGTGTGGGTTGGCTGGCCGGGCAGCCCCGGCGGCACGGCAGAGGTCGAGGTCGCGGCAGGCGGCACCGACTGAAGCGCCGCTGTCAGCAGGCCTCGTCCGGCTCTGCCCCGGACGGTCGCGACCTCTCCCTGCTCGTCTGCCGCTGTCGGCCCCGCGGGCACGGCGCGTGACGGGGCACACAGTCAAGGGTTGACACGAAGGGCGGCGCTGGAGCACGTGGAAAACTGGGCCAGCTCGGCGCCAGGCGGCCGGCGTGTGTACGAGGCAGACAAGCGGAGATGCGCTCTTCATTGCTCGATACTGTTAACGATCAAAATCCTGTCATGCTGGAAATGTTGATGCATCCCTGTTTCGTGATAACAATTTTGTTGCCGCAGTTAACATAGTTAAGAACTGTGCGGTGATTGTTAACGCCGAATTTTTTGGTGGTAACTCTAGACAACTTTGTTATCTGACCTTTTTTTTAGATTCCTTGCTCTATGAACTATTGACGATTTTGGCACGACGACCAATGACTCAGATAGCGCAAGATGATGTGACTCCAGAAGAACAAGATTTCAGAGAATAGAGCAGTTAACTGATGCCTGGACCGAAAGCAAGTCCGAATTCGAAACACAATCTTCAATTGATATGCAAACTAGGCTCACGGAAGTTCGTAAAGCTAATACAGATGACCTGATGGTTGTGTCATGAGCCATTTGTCATGGCGTCAGAATAAAGCTTAAGATATTTTCTGAACTTGAAAAAACAATCATTGCTGGAAGACGATTACCAGCCCATGGGACAACGACGAAATAACAACACCGGTCACGGATTTTTATTGGGTTCTCAAACGGCCTGAAGGATGCCGCCGAATAGAAGCGGACGTAAACATTGGCAACGTTACGTGTATGCTAAAGAACCCGAGCCGAAAGCTAATCGAATGGCCATGTTCATGGCCTCGCTGAAAACCGAAAGCTTATCCCTGTTCATGATCTTAGCGAATTTTTCATGAGGCCTGCCTTGCTACGCAGAGGCAGCGGTAGAACGATGCTTGGATTACCTAGTGGAACATCGTGAACGTTTTTAACACCAGTCTCAGTCACGGGCTGGCTACTCGCGCTGAAAGGAATGATGCCGCACATCTCGGCTGTCCCACGGGCAGGCGAAACAGCAGTAGTTAGTGAAACCACGTTATATCTCCACAAACAGGCCTAATAACTTAAAATCGCAGCATCTCTTCCACCGGAATTCGTCGCATTGGGTCTCGCTCATGGCCTTTTGCATGGATTTATACGTTTCTTTCATTACAGGAGCAAGACAACGACGAAGTAACAACACCGGCCACCTCTTCTGCTATTCGTTTCAATAAAGGCGCGTTGCCGAAATACCAAAGCATCTCATCCCCATTCTCCTCGTTTTCTCCGAGGAATTAGGCCATTACTACTGGCTTGTTTATGTGAAAAATGTTCCTCGTAAATACACATAAAAACTTACATAATTCAGGGGCAAGAACTGAAGATCAGCTTGGCAGGTCATTTCCATTACGGAGCAGAACTGCCTTCAGTGCTGATTTGCTGGCATCAATAAAGAGTCGACTTATCTGCGTCATGCTCCTTTCCTTGCGCACCAAGAGGCGCTTCAATGTCCCTGCAGTGGGAAATAGAATCCTCTACATTGGAAACGCTTCAGAGTCTCTGCCGCCTTCTGGGCGTCGTCACATTGCTACCTGGGGGCAGTAGATTCCACTCACGGAGCCGGGGACCAAGCAACTCGGATTGTGTTTGCGACAGATCGAGGACGCGTGCGAGATGATTAAAATCCCTCTGGGTCACCAAGCGTGGGTCCTCAGCTTCAGCTGACTGAACTCGTATTCTGTGTTTCTTCTGTGTCATGTTCATTTTCGTCATCATCTGAAGGCAGAAAGAACATCTGCGTGCTGGTGGAGGTGGAACAGGCAGATGCTCGGAGTGATCCACGGGCCTGACCGTAGACGGGACATCTGGGTACACTATGCTTCCCTTGCTTTTTGACGTGAACACCGTCGCGTTCGTCATGCAAAAGAAGCCATTTAAAGCGTGGCTCGCGGACTCCGTCCGCACCATTGGAAATGCAAGTAGCACGCCTACTCTCGTCCCGGCAAACAAACTGGGTAGTCAATTCGAGCATATAACACATGTGAGCCGGCCATCGCTCGTCTTGGTCGCCTACTTACACGCTGAAATAGTGAATATGACGTCTCACAAGTTCGGCTATGCTGCGTCTCTGCCGTTTTGGAGGAGAACGACTACATGTGTAGCAAAACAAGTGAGGGTCGCTTAGGCAACCACGCAGAATCGCTACGACCGTCCCGACATACGCCTGCCGCCAACTGCACGGGTATACAGGGTCTGGCAGTGTACTCTGACACTGAGGCTCACCGAGATTCCATCTGATTTTGTTGTAGAGGGGATTGCTACCATGAAACGAACGTATCTTACTTGAACAGCATCTCCAGTTAAAATCGCAGCTTTTAGATGTTATTGAGTTTGCCGCACCACGAGCTGGAGTGTATAAGTGCATTATGCGGTGCGTACCTCATGGGGCTTTGTAGACAGATGGTGTGTTTTCGTATGAAAAACTGAGCCTGATACACAAAAAAAAAAACTGAGATTAAAGTCAGAATCAGCACTACGGAATGGTCCAGGACCGCCTTATAAAATAGATCAGCGATAGCCACTGCTGCATAGAATAATTGGTGCCTTTTCATTTCAGTGCTGGTCCACCTATTCACAAATCTTCCCATCCCATCTTATCAGATAGTTTGACCATAAAGCTTCGATATTTGCTAATTCAGTCTGCATAGGATAACAAGCGCAGCAGAATTAGACCCTCAAGTCTCACTCAGAGCTACATCAACGGTAGATTAAAAATAATTGACGCAAAGACTTTTATTATGGGCTTTAAAGTGTCGTGGCTACGACGACTCTTGCATGCCTATAAGGTCTGCTCACGGTTGGTAAAGGCAATTAAGTTACCGAACATTTATTAATTATTTCCGTGCGGTGCGCATAAACTGAGATTCACGATGCATGGAATTTTGGAAACATGAGGTTTATTTGCGGATGAAATTCCTTCGGCCATTCCTAAGCCATCATTGGACTAAATTCAAGTCACTCTGGTTCCCTAATCTAGAAAATTTTGCACTACGGATAAACACAATTGGCACAGCAAGGGTCCTCGATTTATCGGTGGCGTATTTAACTCAGACACGAAGCCTGCGGACACCTGCGAAACCTGAAGAGGGATATGCCATTTCGATGTTCTTTATTTACCAGCATAACTTAATGGAAAGCCTTGCCAAGGTAAAATTACAGTCGATGCCTCCATCAACTATTAAATCATGTCATTTAACGTCAATTTGTGGTATACCACTACAATGTTTCCAGTTAGTGCATGAGAGCATCATTTTCGAAACAAAGAAAACCCATCTGAAGGTTGACGAACGCTTACAATCCAAGTGGTAGCGAGGCATCTGCGCCAACGACAATGATCTCAAAGTTATGGCGGTTACGAAACCTATGCGACTCCTTTGTCACTTTCGTGTTATCAATAAAATTCTTACGACCAACACATTTTGCACTTCTTAGGAAATGCAGAGAACGACAGACATACATGTTGTGGCAATCACCCCGAAACATCGCGGCACCTTTTGTGTAAATGTCCCTTTGTTCAAACCTCTACCAACGATATACAAGGGCATTTAGTCTCTGATTATGTCACCGATGTCAATGTCCATGCAACACTCCTATTCTAAACGATACAGTCCGTCTTGTGCTGATGTGAACCGTTAGCAAATGGTTATTTACGCAGCCAGGCGTAAAAAGTATCGGCCAAGTCTCGCCACGCTCAAGAAGGCATCAAAAGTTTAAACATCTCCAGTATGGTTCTCAGAGCGTATGCATAAAGTCCCAGCAGACAGCTACTGTTTTCCTTTTTGTAGTGAGAAGCAGAGCCTGCGCCGAATTATGATCGTGTTTGTCCAGATTACACCCCTCTTGAGCTCACGTTTCTCCTGATCGAACCATTATTTACGTTGTGTTGCACCAACATTGTCTGTGCGTGCTTGCTTCGTGATAAAATTGTCAATCGCGCACGATCCAAAACCAGGGATTCAGTCCCATCGCAGCTGAAGATCGTACATCCAACTGCTGTAAAGCCAGGCTCACTGCACATCTGGCCGTTCTTCTCCGATGCACAAGGAACACCCGAACTGATGGCTCAACAATGGCGGAGACGGCTGAAGCCAGTGACACGCGCTGGACACGTGCCAGAACACTGAGCAGGTGCGTCTTCTGACTGCCCATAGAGTGACCCTCTGTAAATCTGGAGCGGTGGATTCACCAGCAACACAGATTCGGCGCCAACGATAGCATTCGATCGCATTTCTGCCTGCCCCTGCGCCAAGAGCAGGTGGGGTGAACCGTGCACCTAGAGCAGAGGTCGGTATTTTGGTCGGTTAGGGAGACCGAAGACGGCGGTTCAGTCCACGTGCGGGAATTATGGGCAAGTCCAAAGGAGCGACAAAGGGATAGCTGCTCGGAGGTAAGGTAGCCTAGTCCTCCCACAATGTCCAAGATGTAATCGAATATTTGTCTCATACACGACTCGCGCGCATAAACTGTTTGCCTTTTGAAGCTGCTTGTGGCGTTTACCCGATCAGTTGCCAAATGCAGAAATGCTGCATTGTACGAATGATCTAAACAAGCCGGGCACCATCCGGTGGTCACGTCTTGAGGAAACTATTGCTGAATGCGACTGAGTCCGGTCACAAGCCCGACGCAATGTTTCGCAATGGGTGTTACATGAGCGTCCCACGACAGGCACGGACTGAAAATTGCACCCAGGTTCGGCACTGTAGCTTTGGGGTAGAAAGTCTTTCCATGGCGACTGACATCCCTTGAGGGTTAATCGGGGGGCTCTGCCGGCTGGCGAACAGCATTGATTGAGTTTTCGATGCGGTTA